TCACCTGCACGTCCTGGCTCCGCGTCCCCATTCATACACTGTTGTATATACTTTGTCCTTGTAAATACCTCCCCCCTCACTGTAAATAAACTGTCTTCACCGCAACTCTGCCTCTGTGCGTTCTGCTCCCTGGGTCCATCTGCATTTGCCATAACAAATGTATTAACACAATTGATCTAAAAGCAGACAAAAAACATAAAATCATAGTAAAAAAAGTTATATTTTTTACTGTAACAACCACAAAATGTTTATTGAATCATATTTCATAACTTTAAATGCAAATATAAATTGTCAATTTTAAAATCATACGCACAAGTTTTGCAAACAAAGTTATTTGCAGCCATTTACCTTTTGCCCTTTTTTTTTAAATAACCATTTCAAACTATTTACATAACAATCAGCTGTTCCACATTCAATAAGATGCCACACAAATTATTTGTGCCACTCCAAAAATTTCTGTTGACTATAAAGGAGAACATCACAGCCTGATACCTGCAGCTCTGACAGGTCTCTTTTTCTGCTCTCTCTCTCTCTCTCTCTCACTCTTAAAACTTCCCCCTCTTCCTAAACAACCAAATGTCATGTTGCCATATCATTTTTGATTGGTTGACATGGTGCAGAGAGGGCTTGCTAGCGCTGTCCTTAGACGTTAAACGTGGCAAAACTATTGAGGAAAAAACGCCACGTATATATTGTTTATCATGACTCTGGTTTTAGTGGCCTATCAACACAATTTATAAACTGGTATATGTCACCTTGTTGCTTTGTCATCTTAAAGTGGTCATGTGATTGGCTTGCCACGACTACTTTGTTCTTCCTCAGTCAAACAGCAGCACTCATGCGATTGTTTTACCCCCTTTGCGCCAGGTGTTTGTGCCAAAAAGTGATCGCCGCCCGCAGGAGCGCGCGCAGCTGCTTAAAGCTGTAGCGCCCAGATTACTTACATAGACAGCTACTTCTGTGCAACTGATATAAAATGCTGTAAACTGAAGTCTGTTTGTTGAAAAATAGTAACGCGACTGCACCGCATTTTCTTGTTAGTAACTGTAACGGCGTTGTAACGATAGAAATAGTAATTAGTTAGATTACTCGTTACTGAAAAAAGTAACACCGTTACTTGTAACGCCATTATTCCCATCACTGACCATAACAGACAGTACTGGACAAAAGGAAGAAAAAAATTCCAAGTCCTTATTTGGGACCAGGCATTTGGGTCTTTAAGACTCCCTTCAAGCCTTCTGTATCAATAAATGAAGTGAAAACAAACATAGAAAAACATCTAGTTATATCAAGGCACATCAGTGTGAGGCTTTTACTTTATTTGTCTGTTATTGCTATAACAGGTTGACAAGCACCCATCACATCACATGACAGATATACGGCATGATGAAGTTTCAAGCTGTTACCTCATGCTGCTATTTGGGGCCGCAGCAGGCAGAGATGCTTCAGACTCTGTAAGATCTTCTGGATTGCCGGCAGAGCAGCGGGCTATCTTAAATGTAGTATATGTGGCTTTGCTCCACGCTCTATCTCACTGACTGTAAATTGTCCACTAATGTTCTACACTCTCATTATCCTCTTCACTAGCTCAAAATGTGCATCATCTGTTCACTCATTTGTCTTTCTGTCAATCTGTCTGGCTTATCCACATGCACCTTTAATCATGTGTCCATTACAAGAGGCTCTGTTTTCCCAACGTATCAGATTTATAACGATGTCAGTGAAGCGTCAGTAGCAGATGCACCATTACCAGGGTAATGCGGTAGCGGGATCTGAGACACAAAGCTACAGCCTCACTTGATCCTCTATGAGGTACGTGCAGTCATATAATGGTACATTTGCTATAGCCGTGCATAAGAGCTTAAGCCTCGAGGCTGTCTCTGTGGAAAACTGTGTTGTTATTCTGCAAACCAGATGGCTTTTTACTCCACAAACGGCACGAGTAAAGACAGACAGTCGAAAAAATCATTTAAGCATTTTAGAATCAGAGTTAATTTCCATCCTTCACATTTCCATTGGTAAAAAAACAGCAAAAGCGACACTCTGGGGTCCACTTGTAAAGTTTTCACACAGAAACACAAACACAAATGATTGGTCGCACATATTTGCTGAAAACAAAACTAATCTCACCTCTGTTTTCAGGCTAGCTGGTACTCTCCAACACTCAACTTCAAAAAGGCTTGAAATATTCTATTACCTGTTTGAAAGTTCATAACTTCAACATAGAGGCAGGAGAGCAGAGCAAATAACCCACAAACTTTGGTGAAATTGACGATAATGACAGTGCAGATGCTGAAGACACAGACAGGCTTGAATCCTGAAGCCAGATTTCCTTAATTTTGACTTACAGCAGATCAGCAGGTGCATACTAACTGTGGCAGACTGGTGCACAGTAATGTTGGCCTTGCACTCACATGTAGAAGAACAACTCTACTATGATGTAACCGAATTATAGAAACTGAGGTACAAGTGGATCGTTGGCCCACTGGAATCCTGAAGTGTCTTGATGGTTCAGGTTATGACCATGCCTCTGCCACTGTGGAAGCTAAAGTGGAGAGCAAAATACGATCAAGTCTTACTTTAGGACTATTGTTTATTCTAACCAAATGCCAAAATGTTCTGTTTATTCACTGGAATGTCATCATTTGATAACTATAACCATGGAAATACAGCGAAATCACAGAATTCCATGTGACTCACACATACAGTCAATCACTCAACTCATTACGTTTATAAAACACACCTGTCCACAGAATCAATTATCAGTTTCTTCCATTGCAACCTGTCCACCAACTCTGGGAAGACCAGAGAGCTGTCCAAGGACATCTGGGACAAGATTTGTAGTATGACCCAAAGAACACCATCGCAACAGTCAAGCACAGAGGTGCAAACTTTAGGCTGTTTTTCTGTTAAGGGCACATAATGGCTTCACCACACAGGAAGGCCAATGGATTTGACCATTGGCCTTCCTTAAACTCTTGGATGAAAACTTGCTTCCCTCAGTCAGAACCCTGAAAATGGGTCATGGATGGGTCTTCCAGCATGACAATGACCCAAAACATACCACCAAGGCACATTGTGTGTGTTTGGGATCACTGCCATGCTGAAAACTTGAAAGCATATCAGATGCTTTCCAGCTGGTATTGCTCTGTAGATCGAAATCTGCATGACAAATTTGGAAATCACTACAGTTTAACCAGGTGGGCATTTTTAAAGTGCGTGCTGCTGATTTATATACTCTAGACAAACTATAGTAATCCAATTGCTTTAATTTACTGCGCAAGCTGGTCTGTGGTGTATCAGGAAAAATGAGTATTAGTCAGTTCTTGTGTTTACCTGACTTTATGTAGATGACTCAAAGTGAGGTTTTGAAAGCACAGAAGGTAAAAAATGTACCAACATACCAAAGTCTGTTCAGGGTTTTTGTTTGTTTGATTTTTAAATAACCTTGGACGTGTGAAATTTAATGAACAGACCCACAAAATCAAATTTAGATGTACCATCTCGAATCAGCCCAACCTTCATGACTCGGTATACAGGCGCACTTCTCTGAGAGTTTTAAAGTTTGATATTCTTTAAAGAACTGAGTCCATCAGGAAAGTGAAAGGTGCAGGGTGGCGTTTCCTGTCATCACACGCAGTGAACAAGCTCTCAATGCTTTACATTGTTACAGTGAATATAGTATAAATTCACAGTATTTAGTGGAACTAACATACAAAATACTTGATTGTTTGTTTAACATATCACAGAGAAAGAATCTGTGTCTGACACTTGCTGACACTCGGTATCATCGCAAGACAAGGATCAGCTTGTTTGAACACTTTGCTGAAGCTACATGAAGTTAAACATTCAAACTCACGCTGCTATATTTTTATGGCTGCAACACTACATCAAATGGAAATACTCTGGATGTTTTGTGCACGTCTCCCTCGTAATTCTGTCTGACAGGCAGTCTCTCTTATCGCCACTGGAATTTCAAATCAGTTCTGTGGTTTGGAATAAAGCTCAACAGCAGAGCTGGGAATCCAGCACAGTAACCGTCAAGCTACTGTTGGATCTTTGCACACAGGTGAAACTGTAAAATGAGGCTTTTTTCTGTGTGTGATTTAAATTGAAGCTTTTGTTACCATTTCACTTTGAAGCTTTGTTGCCATTTAATTTTTGCAGTTCAGTTTCAGGGATCTTACACAATTATTCACACAGAAGCTTTACAATCTTTTTCCTTTTAAATAAAGTAAAAAATCAAAAGAAGAGATGCCATGCACTGAAAACCTCTGATGATTATTCTTGTTTGTGCAGCACGAGTTATGGTGAGCAATTACATTCAGTTTTCTGCAAACTTCAGAAAATTGGTTTCCATCTAGTCTGAGACTTGGCTCAATTACAGAAAATTAAGAGATTCTTCATTTTTGTTTTCATGCTATTAACCGTCAAAATTCTCTCCAAACAAAGATGTGCTTCTGTCCCAGCTTCTGAATTTTTAAGTTGACTGTTGAGACTCTTTTTCAGACATTACATACACCCCATTTCCTAAAAGGCATCTGCAAATATTACATCAGACTACAGTCTGAAATGAGGCTAGTGATTTAAGTTAGGCTACACTTGTAACAAGGCTGGTCGAGGTAATTTGCCGGATAAGACCACCAGCTCCACTGGCAGTGATTAGTGACTTTCATGTGAGGGTTTTTTGATGCCCACAGACATTAAAACCAACCGAGGACATTGCTGTTAAGGCTCGCCAATTAACAGATCTTTCTTTCCCTTTCCTTTTTTTTTCAGGCTGTGAATGTTTCATTAATTCACATTATGAGAACTTTGTGAAAATTGGTTTCACTTATTCCTGCGAACAGAGCTGGGAGCAGCTCAAACCCCCGTATTAAAAACATCAGAAGTATATAGAACCGCGTTCGGTCCCCTTTGACCAATTTGTTGTGTCAGGCTCTGCTCTGCTTGAGGCTTTTCTGAAAATGTCATGAGCTCATGTAGTGTGATAAGCTTACCTCCATAATGAACTCTCGGTCACGCTGTTGAGGTTGAAGTCAAATAGTTTGGTCAGCATCAGAATCACCTACAAAACAAAAAAAAAAGCGTTGCAATTAGTGGCCTATGCAGACTTATTAATCCAGTGAGTGGTGGCGTGTCAAACGGCAGTAGCGTGACACCAACGCTTTGAGGAAGAATACAGTTTGGCAGAAGCCATAAGTCATACCCCCTCCACCAAGTCAGCCTCAGACACTAATTTTTATGTATACTGAAACACAGGTTTTTGTTGTGACTGTATAACATAGACCTGACACAGAAAAAGTCCTGGTGTGTTCTTTCTCTGCCTTCAAAACCAAGTTTACCTGCTGTGCAGCCTGCCTTGAGTTTTGGGTGCATTATGCTAGCAGATGCTAATGTGGACTCGAGCTGATGAGCGTTAGTTAGCTCAGTTCAGACTACAGTGACATCATTTGAGGACAGCTCACTCTTCTGGTGTTTGCTTTCCTAAAGAGCAGGAAAAGGTGGGAGTCTCCACTTCTGCTCAAGAGGTTCAGGAGAGCGAGCAGTGAAAAAAAAGAAACTTTTCTGGGACGTGAATGCAAGCTCTCTGCAGCTTTTCAGAAAATACACATGAATCCGTTTCTTTTCACATAGTGGCTAAAAGCAAATACTCAATCTGACCAGGACGTTTTGCAAACAGCGCTACTGATTTCCATACCTGCTTCTATATTTATTCAAATGGGATTTTGGGACTACCGGCAACACATGTACAGCCAAACACAGCTTTTGCATGTTGTGCTGGTTAGCAGTTTGACTTTATAGGTTGGACGGTGTGCTCAGGAGATTGTGATTGCGATCTTTTCTCACTCACTTCCTGTTGTGCCATTTGTCTCCCGCAGATGTGGCTTGAAATCGGTTTAAATTAGAAGAGGAAAGCAGGGAGTTTCTCCACAGAGCCCATGCTATCTAAACTACTCCAGCCAATAGTATGATTAACTGCTATCACTAAATCACTTTATCAGAGCATTTCCAAAATTAAATCCATCCATCCATTTTCTGCCATTTATCCAGGTTTGGGTCAGAGGAGCAGCAGTCTAATCTCCACCACCTCCTCCAGCTCTCGTGAGATACTGACGCATTCTCAAGTCAGCAGAGAGACATAATCTCTCCAGTGTGTCCTCAGCCTGCCTCATGAGGTCTGCTTGTAGCAGAACTTTTCCGAAACACCTCACCGCCTTTTTTTGCCCTGACTACCTTAACTGGCCCCTTGCAAGCCAGCCTGAGCCCCGACCCCCTTAAGAGGACACTAATTTATAATAATAATGGATTGCATTTATATAGCGCTTTTCGAGACCCTCAAAGCGCTTTACAATTTCTGTCACTTATGACCCTGATCGTCTTTGTTCAGTCACTAGCAGCTGGTAAAGGTTGAATCATAAGTAAATTAAAAGCTCTGTGTTCATGCATAGCTTTGTTTTTCCCACAGCAGGCAGCTAAAATATCAGCATCACTATGTTCATTCTCTTTGTGGAATAACCACAAGACACCTGATCTCCTTCACCTGACGCAGTCACTCATCACCAAGCCAAAGTTGTGACTTGTCTGCAAACCTCATCCTAGCCATCACAAACAGTGAAGCCAACCATAACTAAATTACATTTCTCTAGCGTGTCCTCAGTCTGCTTCATGAGCTCTGCAGACGTCTCGTGTTTCCTGTATTTCCTTATGAACAGAACTGGGAACAAAGGGCAGCCCTGGTGAAATCCAACAGCAAGTGTGCGCAAGAGTCTGACTCCCTGAGCAGCCCTCAGAGCACAGCACACCCCAAGAGACGTGGCCTCCAAGTGCATACAACAAACTCCAGCACGTTATTTGTCCCATCATGGACGATTTGTGAAACACGGGGTGTCGGCGTTGGAAGCGTACATTTAAATGTAATTTAATTTCAACACCACCCATATGTGTGAGCAGCTTCTTCTGCACACGCTGCAGTTGCTTAGCATGATCGTATCTAATTGTTTCAAAGTCATTACTTAATCGCATAAGGCTGATTCTAAACGCCATAAATATTCCTTATTCCGCTCAGACCCCGAAGGTGCCAGCAATGAAGAAAAGTGGGTCAGCTAAAGTCTGGGGGGGAAAACAGATTGTGAGTTTCCGTGCTGCTTTACTTCTTTTACCCTTTGAGCAAAATGTGATGTTTCTGCCTCTGTTTACTTTGTGACTGGAGGTATATTTGAAATGGATAAAACTCAGAAGAGGCAGGAAAATGTTCTCAGGGAGCGCCGCGGTTTCACTTTAATATACTCTGTTTTCTAACAGTTGTGCTGAGTCCTTCCTTTTCCATGCCGTTTCCTTTTGATAAAGCTGTGTATTTTGCCGTGACCTTTCCATTATCAGATAACCCCTATGCATTGTGGGTAACAGGGCGCAGCAGTCTAGTTATATGAGGTGGGCGACTCTACCGGTTGTGTATATCTAAATATCTATTCACGTAGTGCATTGTTTGCGACGGCCTGGTTCATCCTTATCTCTGACTTTGCTGTCAGGGATATGTGTTGCTTCCCACTGCACACGCTAACATAAAGAACTTAAATCTGTGTAGTTTATACTTGTTGCCTTTAAGACGTACCACACTGTGCTAGACCAATATCCAGCTGATTCCCCTCGGCCTGACTGCCTTTGATACCTCCGCACTGCCTGTTACGGAGGCAGCAGCTGAACCGCCGAATGACTTGTGTGACTTTGTGAAACAGCTCCACCAGCATGGGGTTCCTGTGAGTACAAGCAGAACAGATGCACCTTGGGTAGCAGAATTACATCGCGAGGTTGGGGCTCCTGTGATCAGGCTTATTAAGTATGCGCTAACATCTGCAGCCCCTGAAACACTCGAAACGTGCGGTGCACTTGGCCGACCCGCAGCTGGCGGGGTTTCGGTGTCGAGGATGTGTTGTGGAAAATAACCGTCAGGACAACAACTAGTAAAAAGGCATTGATTAAGAGCGGTTCAGGAAGTGGCTGGCTGTTTTCAGTGTGGGGAGAATTGGCCCGGGGAATGAATAACCTTAAATGTCCGGACTAGACCTTTGCATGCTAATGACTGACCAAGTCCATTTAGCTGCCCAGCTGGAGGCTGAATTCACAGCCGCGCCACACAGTTTCCTTCTTTCTCTCTACTCGCTCTCTTTATTTCCTTTCGTCTTCACTTCCCAACACTGTTTCTGTGTAGGAGAGGGAGAGAAGGGGGGAGGTGAAGGTGAGGGTAATGATGCAATTATGTTTTTAACATCTCTGAGCCACTTTGCTGCGTGTTTGTGTACGCGCCTGGTTTCTGGGGGAGGTGAAGCAGTTAAGCTTTTACATCCCTAAGTCGTCCCTTGTGACTTGTGTACATGTTTGCGCATGCATATTTGTGTGTGTACATGCTGTGAAAGGTAGAGCTCTGAACTCTGGATGGAGTAGTAGCCCGATGACTTGGCTGCATTAGTTGAAGGGCAGCGTGCGTACAGGCCCTTCTGTCTGCCACATATGGAGACTGTGTGGGCTGCCATCAGCGAGCGGCCCTGTCAGATGGGCTCCCACTGGAAAGTGCATATGCTCCATCACTGCCTGTGCCAATTAGGCCTGTGGGCTTCTCCTACTGTAAATACTACGATGAGGCAAGTCTCTTCTCCATCAAGGCCAGAAGAAACCACCTCTGCACAGACACGCACTAACTTCTGACAGTTTGGAGAAGTGCAGGAGAGCATGAAGGCATCAGAAGGAGATGGGACATAGCTGGTGTTACAGCAGGAATCAATGATTAGGAAAAAGCTTTAAAACAAGCTTCATGCAGGCTCACGCTCACACCTTTGCAAAATACTGTATCGTATCTCTTACAATGTCGGTGTATATTCGTTTGGACAGGCGGCGGTGTCACAAATGTACAGTATGTGTCCCATACAACGACTGGAATGATGTCCACTGATGAAACAGTTGCTGCCATATGTCAAGAATATACAATAATGTGGCTTCAGGATCACCAGCCGTCCCTGCCTGCCCGACTCGAGATAACAAGACAAACAGAAACGGCATTGTTATGGTGGGCGCTAAAGCTAAAGCAGCAAGCTGTAACTTTTGCTCACTGAAACTAAAACAAGAACAACAGCTAAGCTAATGTCACGGGCATGAAGCTGCTCAGCTTGTTCCTGTTGACTGAGCAGAGGTGTTTTGTTCGTTAGGCCACTTAACACTGACCTATGAACCTGTCAAGCATTAACAAGCACCTGGTTCATCAAGGGATGAACCAGTGTTGTGTCTACATGTAACAGACCACTTAGCAAAGAGCCGATTTTGCAGCACCTCATTTGTTCTCATTTCTTTTGTTGAATCTATGCCAAAGAAATGCAACAGTTTGACAGGCACAAAATAGTGTTTTTGCACCAAGAAGGTGATTCCCAGAGTGCTATTAGCCTAAAAACTGGCACATCTCAGTACAGTGTGCAGTGCATCCTGTGTGGACCAAAAATAAACCTATACCCAGGGAACAGTATCTGAAAGCCATATCCTTAAGAAACAGGGAAGAAAATCCAAATATGCAGCTTCAAAATTGTTGTGAGTATGTATGTAGGAGGTCAGCAGAGAGTGTCTGCAGCTATTTGTAAAACAAAGAGCTCTGAAGCTCCTTCAAGAGGCCTGGAAAACTGAAGACTTTTAAAGAAATAACAATAACAATTTGGTGTTGAACAATAAAGGTGTTCGTACCAAATACTGACTTCTCATTAGAACTGTAGAAACTGTGTAGGTTTGCATATATTTCCTCTTTTGTTTCATCAGCATTAGATATCATATAGCACAAAGGGGATCAGACTAAGCAAACAGATGTGTCTGTTTTCAAACGGCATCACTGCAGTTTCCAAGAGGTTACACTTTTACTTCAGCTCAGGGCTGAACGAAAACAAAATAACTCGTTTCTTTGTTTCTTTGGCCACAATCAAACCATCAAAATTTAATTCATCCTTTGCTCAAGTCCCAAAATTGCGATAAACTCGACAAGCTTCCACTGAAGGACAAAGTTCAAAGAAAGAAACGAGTTTGTCTCTCACA